TGGGGCTAGAACCAACTGGCCCCTTGGGTTTATTTTCTGCTAACAAGGGGGAACTGGGGAGCCTCTGAGTGGTAGCAAGGTTGGGAACGCTGCCCCAGCACCTGCCTTGGCCTCGGCAGAATAGGGGCGTGGGGCAGCCGCTGTCCGAGGGGAAGATGCTCTGTTCTAATAGGACTGATCCAAGGTGGGGTAAGACTAAGAGCGGCAGTCCTGGGCCAGCCCAGCAGCACCTGGTGTCAGGGAAAGCTCCTGCCCACAAGAGGGATCCACCATCTTCCACAAAGGGAGACATGCCAGGACTCCTCCGGGTGCGTGAACCAGGGGCAGAAAGGTGGCTGCAAACACCCATGGCTGTGGGGTTGGCGGAGAGTCTCGGGTGGTGGCTAGATAGGTATGGGGCTGGATGGAGGGGTGGATAGACAGCCAGCCTCTGCTGGTTGAGATCTCCTCCCTCCATGTAGGGCAGCGGTTCTCAGACTTTTGCATTGGTGACCCCTTTCACACAGCAAGTCTCCGAGTGCAACGCCCCTTATACATTAAAAACAATATTAAACGTTATTATAAATGATGGATGAGAAGTGGGGTTTGGGGGTGGAGGCTGATGGCTCGCAACCCCCCACGTAATAACCTTCTGACCCCCGGAGGGGTCATGGCCCCAGTCTGAGAACCCCCGAGTACGGGGATGGAGGGATTGGACAGACAGACTGGTGGTGGGGAGCCCCTCTATCCATGTATGGGGATGGATGGATGGATGGATGGATGGATGGACAGACGTAAGGATGGACGGACGGCCTGATGGCAGGGAGGGGATGGACAGACAGATGGAGGGATGGACAGACAGACTGGCGGTGGGGAGGGGAAGGACAGAGGGATGGACGGACAGAGGGAGGGATGGACAGACAGGTGGCGTGGACGGTGTGGATGGACAGGTGGAGGGATGGATGGACAGACTGACGGGGAGGAGGTGGATGGACAGACGGAGGGATGGACAGACGAAGGAGTGGACAGACAGATTGATGGAGAGGGGTGGATGGACAGGAGGGATGGACGGACAAACGGAGGGATGGACGGACAGACTGATGGGGAGGGGTGGATGGACAAACGGAGGGATGGACGGACAGAATGGTGGGAGGGGTGGATGGACAGAAGGAGGAAGGATGGACAGAAGGAGGGATGGACGGACAGACTGGCGGGGCGGGGTGGATGGACAAACGGAGGGATGGACGGACAAACGGAGGGATGGACGGACAGACCGGCGGGGC